AATTAATCTATATATGCTATACAACATTGCCACCCTTCTCAATTCCCATCAGCATTCTTTTGCACTTTCCCACCCATGCATCTGCACCATTCCAGAAACAAGCTTCCATACAACAGCCCACACCGATCGTCAACCACATCCAACTGTGGAGTTGACACTAATAGCTTCTGGGATGGTTCTACCCTTTGAGAATCAAAAGGTGACCCTGCTTGCATGCCAGTATTCTTTTGTTCTAATTCTGCACAGGAATTGGGAAATAAGGAAAAGGAAGAACAAAATATCGCCTATCCACACAAGTACACCATTTTCACAAAAATTACAACTTAAAAGATTACAAACACAGCTAACATCCTAGATACACACACACACATTATCAATATCTTATGAAATTAATTGTAATATATGATGTGCCCTGAAAACTACAAGACCACTAGGAACTTGCTTCTAGCCAAAATCATTCAAATTACAATGCACAAAAGCTCAAATCTAAAGACATAAAGATCAGAAATACAGCTCTAACAGAACACCAAAGAATTAAAATCCCCAGCCCTGGCCTTTACAAGCTTAGCGTACTTAAATGCACAAAAGTAATTCAGCATATTACATTTAATCCCTGCCCCCCCCCCCCCCCCATTACTCCATTAGAATAAAATATCAAAGTTCCACACCCAATTCTTTCCCCAGTTCTCTACTTATATACATACAAATACAATATGAATTACAAAAATATATATAAAAAAATAGGTTGAAGATTGAAATTTTAGAGAATAGGGCATTTATGGAAGAATTAGACATTAGGTGAAAACAAATTAAGAGATTAAATTTGAAGAATAATGAAGATTGGTTCGAACCTGGAGTGCCGCAGTGACGGAGTGCCAGGCGAGGGGACATTGGAGATGGAAGAGTTCAATTGGGTTGGGAATCTGCGAATCTTAGATGAATAATTGAAGAGTTCTGAGGCAGCGAAGAAGAAGAGAGCAGGGATGAAGAAAAGAGGCGACCCGCAAAGAAACGTGAACAGGCATAGAGAGATAAATCTAAATGGCGAAAACAAAGGATGAAAGAGAAAATCCAGCGAAATCCACGCACCCCACCCCACGTCCAAATGTTGAAAAGCCAAAACTACCCCCTTTTACTAAAAATAATACACAACCAGCGAACAAAACCCCATTAAATATTCAAATAAATATGGACCATTAATTAATCAAGATAAAAGGCTAAGATGAGTTCTTAAGTTCCTACCTAAAGATGGGTTCTTATATGAATGTAAATCTATATACAAACATACATAGGATGAAAGAGAAAATCCAGCGAAATCCACGCACCCCACCCCACGTCCAAATGTTGAAAAGCCAAAACTACCCCCTTTTACCAAAAATAATACACAACCAGCGAACAAAACCCCATTAAATATTCAAATAAATATGGACCCTTAATTAATCAAGATAAAAGGCTAAGATGAGTTCTTAAGTTCCTACCTAAAGATGGGTTCTTATATGAATGTAAATCTATATACAAACATATATATATATATATATATATATATATATATATATATATATATATATATATATATATATATATATATATATATATATATATATATATATATATAATTAGGAAATAATCCAACCTTCGTGTTCAAGTATAGATTTCACATATTAAACACATAAGGAATCATCAAGGAAGACATACAAGCGCACAATGGATCAATAAAACGAGAAGTCAAGAAATCAACACACCGTACCAGTGGGCACGCGGTGGGCGATCGACCGCCTGCCAAGGTCCCATTGGAACGAGGCAGTGGGCACTTGGTGGGAGGTCGACCTCCTACCAGGGTCCCACTGGAACGTGACTATGAAGGAGGAATCACTTCGGGAAAAGTCCCAAGAATGCACAAATTCAAGTCCGAACATTTTCACACTCATATGAACAACAAAAGGGACTTGAATACATGGTAAACATCAAGTAATAACATTATTATGATATCAACAAGGAACACGGAAGACTTAAACGAAAGTTCAAGACATCATAAAGATCACACATCACATTCCTTCCCTCCTAAAGAGTAAAGCTGCGTTCCCACAACTTTCAGGCAAACTCATGCAGGTACTTATCAAGCTATAAGTAAGTTAACCATCAAAATAATCGAACAATCACAATTAAGAAAAGTGAGCAATTATCGATCAAATAAAATTGTCAATTGCAAGTTCCAAAATATTCCATCAAATAACAAATATCCAAATAATGCATATTGACCAAATAATTAAGTAATAATATGCAAGTCCTTAGCTGATATATGAATGAATTAATTAGGAAAATAACCCAACTTTCATGCTTAAGCAAATAACCACGTCTAGCATTTATTAAGAAACAGAATTAATAGCATGTCAAGGTAAATCATTAATAATCAAAATATGATATGTGACAAAGCATGTAAAAGTATGCAAGGATATTACAATTTTGGAGTAAGCGTAGGAAACAAGGAACAAGTATAGGGAACTTAACAGAAAACGATAAATAAATCCACAGTCTCACCGCGTGTCCTAAGATTCTTATATCCTAAGAACTTAAACACCTAGAGTTCAAGCTTAATGTCCTAAAGTCTTGTCTTAAGGGCCTTATCCTAGGGTCGAACTTAGGCTCTGATACAACCTGTAATACCCCTAATTTTTAAAACATTTAAAGCTTATGAAATCAAGATAAATTTATTATTAATCATCCAAACAGAGCATAAACTAATCATAAGAGTCGGGGTGCTATGCCACACCTAGGTTTGAGAACCTAGATGCACAGGCTACAACTAACTAATCTAAGCATAATCCACAATTAATATTCAAATACAATTCCAGGCACACAGGCCATAGCAACTATGATTAGAACTAACTAATGTTAAATCTGGGGGTCTGTCTAGCGCACTCCGAAGCCATTGGTCAGTACCTGAAAAGCATGCGGTGTAACAATCGTCAGCGAATACTGCTGGTAACCCACTCCAACGCGTTAAGTACAATATAGGTAGATATAAGAAATCATTTTGCAACTTGAATACATATATAAGTTACGAGAATCTAATTTAATCCAAGATCAAGGCACAAGACATAACAATAGACTTGACACTATAGAACAATCATAAAGACTAGCATGCGTCCTAAGAATACGATACAAGACATAATAGACAAATAAGATCATAAATAGCAAATAGAGACAACAAGGGCATTCAAGGCAATCAGTTAGCAAGTAATCATCAAAGCACACAAACCATCTACCAACCTTATACTAAGTTCCAACCTTGTGGCTCCCCTCTGTCCTTATATTAGTTCCAACCTATACCTCCAGGCCACCCTTATTACGCCTCGCTTATTCCTCCGGGCAACTAAATGCCCCCACCGACAAACCACCTTTCAACCGCCAACATATCAAGATAGCGTCGCAGTGCCATTCGCATGATCCGTACCACTAGTACCAATACCAAGGGTTCAGCGCATATAGCCCTGACATGGCACCGCAGCACTTATAACCTGACCCATGCTCAACGGCAAGCAAGTCAAAGGTGGGTTTGTGCCTTTAGCACAGTAACCGCTTGGCATGTACCTTCAGTACAATGACCGGGCACAAGTGGTGTCAACCGCCAACAATTCATTTCCACCAATCACAATCTCATCATCATCATCATCATCATTAGTCACACCGGCCGTTGCGCAATGACCACGATACTCATCATCATTCAATCAATCAACACATAATCAATCAATAACAATCAAGACATAACAACAACGACACGTATTACACATAAATTCCTAGAACGGTATTCAAAATATCAAACGAGACTCATATACGACAAACGGGGTACAACGGGACACAATGGAACACAGGGAAACATCAAACGGGGAAAAAACATCACGAACCCTAACCCCTTTCCAGCGGGTGGCGGCGACCTTCTATTCTAGCGGGTGCCCGGCGGGCAGTTGCCTGCCTGCTGGAATAGTACTTCCTGGCAGCGGGTAGGTGGCAGGTACCCGTGCCCCCACCTACCCCCCACTGATACTCAGACCACTTTTCGGTCCCGGGATCTCTCGTGGAACCCAAAACCATGTCCAGACACATTCAAACACATAACGACAGCACCACGGATTCAATTAACGGAATTAAATCAAGAATTGTACTGAATACATTCTACCACGATTCCTAAACATGCCAAGACTCAACATTAATCATATAACGGTTCAGGAGCATCCAGAACCCCAAGAATATCAAGAAATCTATATGAAAAGCCCTAAAGATAAATCCTAGGCTAGAGTCAACACCCGATCATGCATAATCCCACCCAAATATATCAAGAATATCACACAACGAGATTCACGATATAAACCCTAGGGACAAGCTCTAGACATAATTAAAATATAAGATCATACATATAATCAATCACAATATCAAGAATATCAAGAATATCACATAAAAACAATATAAATCATAGGCAAGGCTCTATCAAAACTCAATCACATAATCATTCATCAAAGGAGCCAATAATCAAGATATAGCAAGGAAAATAGGTTTTGTAAGACATGGGTTACCTCTTAGTCTTAATTAACCCTCCCTTGGCTATTAAGGTTCTTTTCTAAGATTTCCATCCGATTGATCTCCCTAGGCTTGGTGGTGGGAAATATCTTTGGAATAATTTCGTGTAATATAACTATGGGTGGTAAGGGTTCTAATTGCTTTCTAGTCCCCTATTTATAGAGTTAGGAATCCTAATCAGAGTCTGAATAGTAAAGACCTACTTTATATTCCTAACTATTCTTTACACGCCACCTACCCGCTGCCCGAGATCATTGTTCCAGCGGGCTGCCCGCCGGCGAGTGGTCCTCCATCCGTCACCCACCCGCTGGAAAATTGATGTGGGTCATGGTGTTTTTCCCCGTTTGATGTTTCCCCGTGTCCCGTTGTGTCCCATTGTACCCTGTTTGTCGTGTATGAGTCTCATTTGATGTTTTGAATACCGT